TTTTGGGCCGTGCATTTATGGTCAAATACTATGCTAATCAAGCAAAATCATGGAGCTTCTGAAGACATTACAGCTCAAACCTCAAATGCACTGTCAAATCACCTCGTCGAGCTAGGACTGCCATAATCAAGGGAATATCCCCTGAATGCATAGATCTGAGAAGTAGGAACTGATAAACTTTAAGGTTTATAGTGAGGAAGGAGCTCGAGAGTGATGGGGCTATGGCCTGGTTTTTCTCTCTTGTGGCCCCTGGTTTTTAGTGGTTGTCTAAACGGTGACTGAACTCAAACTCAACGTGTGCGTAGAAATAGGGGGAAGAGTGGGATTCTCAAAACTGCAGTTTGATTTTGAGAAATTATCAGAAATATATTTTAATTTTTGTTTAATTGGAAAAAAAATCAACTTTCATAAACCTTATCTACACTTTTTTTTCTCCATTTTGACATTTTGTTTTACCAAAATAGTTTTAGGTAGTCGTATTATCATGAAGGCCCTATTATAATGTACCGTAATGCGGTAGTCATTATCATATGAGTACCATAAAAGGTATTTTGATAAAAGAAACGTCAAAATTGAAAAAAAAGGGTATAAACGAAATTTATGAAAATTGAAAATTTTTTCCATTTAAATGAAAATTAAAGTATATTTCTAAAACTGGATTCCCTCACCTCTCTTTCTCTCTCTCAATGAGAGTCCCTCAACTCTCTTAAATGCCCTCTATTGTCTTCTCTCACTAAAGCAATCCCTCTCTTTTAACTCTTTTTCTCTCTAGAGGGACTACTCTCGTTCAAAATTTAGAAGTATATTTATTTTTAAAGAAACTCGTGATTGTAATAGGAGCTCTTTTTAAACTAAAATTTAAAGTGTATTTCTAAATTATCAAGCAATTTTTAAAAAAAGAGAGTAAAATTTTATTATTTACTAGTACTTTTAATGTAATAAATCACATGTGACGGCACGTACCCACATGAGCAGAAAATCCGAGAAAAAATTATATGAATAGAGAAACAAAGTTATAGATAATATAATATGATATAGTATAATATAATAGTAACCTTTGAATTTAATATTTTATTTCATAAAAAAGAATCAATTTTTAAAATATACATTATTTTGTTTTAAAACAGTATAATTCATTTTATTTTAATAAATCACATGTGCAGTTTGTACCTACAGGAGTAGAAAATCTGAGAAATGATTAAATGAATAGAGCACCAAACTTGAAGTTTGAGCTTGGTTAATAGAATAATTGCAACCATCCAATGTCACATCCACTGATCAAGATTTATGTGGTCACCTTGTATCAAAGGTAAATAGTTTCATTCTATACTTTCTCATATAATATTAACCTAGAAATTTGTAAATCAATATATTAATTCTTTTATTTTACCTATTTAAAAAGATTTAAATATGTTAAATTTTCTTGTTATTATATGATATAATATAAGATTATATGGTTGATGTTATCTTCTCTCTATTTTTAATAAAAAAATTATATATTATATAATGTGTAATATATACTATATATAGTGAGTGTGGTGTGTGAAATCTTATTCCTCAATCCCTATCCCATAGGTACATCTTTTGAATCAATAAATAACTATATATAATATATGCAATTTTTAATTCAATTGAAGTTTCATGAATTTCAGTATATATGATTGAACTTTTGGGGTTCACATGAGGTGGTGTACCTTGCAAAAGTCGATGTAATGATAAATGATATAGCGCCTATTATTCTTTTAGGTCGTCAGGGGCAATAGCCATGAAGGAAGTTTTTTTAAAAAAATATCAATTTTAAGAATTACACATTATTTTGTTTTAAGCTAGTATAAAACTATATTCATTAGAATATTTAAAAATATATTTATTTGTAAAGAAGCTCCTTTTTAATTTAATAAGTGTTTTTCATAGTAATTTTAAAATAAAATTTGTAGTGTATTTTAAAATTATTAGACAACTCATTTTTATGAGAAAAAATAGAATTTTATTATTTACAAGTAGTTTTAATGTAATAAATCACATGTGCAATACGTACCCACATGAATAGAAAATCCGAGAAATTTTTATATAGAGCAACAAAGTTATAGATAATATAATATGATATGGTCTAATATAAACCTAACCTATAAATTTATGATTCTACTTCAACATATTATAATTTCTAAATTACCTTTTCCTAAGTTTTTTTTTATTATTGTTAATTTTTTTAATTTTTAATGTCATTATATTATACAATATAATATAAAATTATGTTATGACTGCGAACGTTTTTATTAGGTCATGCCTTTATGGTCAGATGATACACTAATGGATGGATAGATGGATGTGGGAGGGTAAATTGTTCGATTTATTAGTAGGTGGATGGTTGGATGATGCATTGGATGGATGGTCAACGAATGGTTGGATGGTTTAAGGAACGAATGGCTTAATAATGGATAAGTGGTTGCTTGGTGAATGTATGGAGGGATGATGGATGGTAGATGGACTGACGGCAAAAACTTGCACGAAATTTGTATTATTTAGACATGTATCTAAGAGCCCCGCTTGGTTCACTAGATTTTTCATTCCTATGGAAAAGTTAATCCTGGAATTGGTATTTACTAGAATTAATAGTTTCTGAAATCCCGTTTGGCTCTTTAGATTTTTCATTCCTATGGAAAAGTTAATATTGGAATTGGTATTTACTAGAACTAACAGTTTCTGAAATCTGGTCTATGCTGTTTGGATTGCATCTGATAAAAATCAGCAAAATACAAATTCATTATTTAGATTGCCGAATATCTTTCTTCTGTAAATGTAAATCCTCTCTCTCTCACATTGTCACCGATTCTTCAAATCTCTTGTTTGGATATATAGTACAAAATTCATTGACTCTTTACGGTCATTTTCATGTCCATTGTTTGGTAATAAAATTTGATATACTTTCCCCTCGTAAAACTCAAAATTTGGAATAGTCTTTCTTTTTAAAAATTTTGAGATAATTTCTCTCTAAATTTTAATATAGTTTATTATCAAAAAATTTAATATACATTCTCTTTCAAAAACTTAAACTTTGAAATAGTTTCTCTCTAAAAATTTTGAGATAGTTTCTCTCTAAAAAATTTAGATACTCTCTCTCTAAAATTCAATCTATTTTCTCTCTATAAAATTTTGAGATACTTTCTCTCTCTAAAACTTAAAATTTGATATAGTTAAAAAAAATTTGAGATAGTTTCTTTCTCTAAAAACTTTCAAGTAGTTTCTCTTTCAAAACTATGATATAATTACTCTCCCTAAAATTCTAATATGCTACTTTTCTCTCTAAAACTTAAAATTTGAAATAATTTCTCTATCAAAAAATTTTTAAAATCTCTTTAAAAATTCTACGTGCTCTACCAACAATTTAATAGTCTCTCTCTCTCTAAAACTTCAAATTTGAGATACTTTCTCCATCTAAATATTTTCGAGTAGTTTCTCTTCTTAAAATTTGATATAGTTTCTATATCTAAAATTTTAATATACTCTCCAAAACTTAAAATTTGATATAATTTCACTCTCTAAAAGTTTGACATATTTCTCTATAAAAAATTTAAGCAGTTCCTCTCTCTAAAATTTAATCTATCTCAAATATTAAGATACTCACTGCCTCTAAAATTTTAAGAGGCTCTTTTTAAAACTTTAAATTTGAAATACTTTCTCTCTCTAAAAATTTGAGATAGTTTCACTCTTAACAAATTTCATGTATTTTCTCTCTAAAACATTTTATGTGCTCTCTCTTTAAAATTTGATATAGTTTCTTTTTCTAAAATTTTAATACATTTTCTCTCTAAATTTTGATATAGTGACAGGTCCATGAAAAAAATAGGTCGTTTCCATGAAATGTCAATTCCACCTATTTTAGTAGAATTGACATTTCAAAAATTTAGGCTTAAAATGAGTATTTTGGAATCCACAAAAATCTCAATTCTAACAGCAATGTCAATTCTAAGCGAAGCAAACGTAATTGGGTCGCATTTTCAAGAAAAAGTGACTCCTGAAAATCTAAATCCTAGGAACCAAAGGGACCTAAAGGTAGTCACTTGGTTAATGTATGGAGCGATGATATACGGGGGTAGATGTACTCTCTAATGGTAATTGCTTGGTGAATGTACGGAGGGATGATGTTTGGGTAGATGGACAAATGAATTTCTATTATTGCGATACGTAGGCACGAGGAGAAATGAAATTTCAAGGTATAACCACACATGAAAGCCCTTTAGTTTCTAAGAAAACAAGAGAAATTTGAGGTTTCACATTGTTCTTGGGTTAACATTTATCTTGGAGTAGCAAATATCCAAAAGTTTAAGTCAATATATCGATTAATGTGACCAAAGCAAACGCAAGAAAGAGAGATCCTCCGGTGAAGGCAATGACCTGCTCAAACAACAAATCTGTCACACTTCACATTTGACGATTTACAAGTCCTAGGAATCAGATTTGTGCATGCAATAAACACAATTACAGATAAGCATGCAAATAACATCAACGAAAAAGCTCTATTAAGTCATCTTTTCACACATACATGCATGCGCACACGCACATACGTCTGCATGCACACATGCACATGCAACACAGACAAACGTGCATGCACACACCCACACATATGCAGACACTTGTGCACGTGCACACACACATATGATGCTCATGAATCCATAAATATTGGATGACTAGTAGAATGCCCAAGGAGATCTCCACATTTTATCATCAAATAGAAGAGTGAGAATGAAATGACTCGTCAGATAAATAAGCTCATAGAGAAGCTGTCATTTGATAGGAACAAAAACACAAAAATAAGAAGGTCTTCTCAGGTCAAGAAATATGAGAATTCATCCTGCGATGTACTACAGGCATCTTCTTAAACTGACGTAACAATACCCATGACCCATAGCCCATCGCAGGGTTTCATGATATTGTCCATCAAAGTCAACCAATAAATGAGAACACAATTTTAGAACCCCCCCCCCCCCCCCTCCCCCCCCCCAAGGTACAAGTATAGGTTACACAGACCTTCACACACAATCGCAATGATGCATGGAGGTCATCACTTCCGCACATGTAGGCATACCCCAATGGGCTGCTTCGCGAACAACTATATAGTGTATATGCCATGCGATGGCAATGATGAGGATTTTGGCACCCCTCAAGCTAGCCAACCGCACACAAGGGTCCCTTGGCCAACACCCTAGGCATCATTCCAACCTCATCATAGGAGGACCCTGTAAATGCTCCACAATTGTGCCAAATGCCCAGGGCTACAGGGTTTTAGCTATGAACCCTGGCCAAGCTCGTTAAAGCCCAGGTGAGTCACAGCATCAAAATGCCTCCTTTGGTCTATCTGAATTGCATTCCTTTGGTCCCACCATACCATACTCCCACTGGAGTTATCGCATTACTACAGTCATAGTTTTAGATGCTCTCATAAAGCCTTTAAATAGGCACATAATGCCAAGACCTCCCACTTAGCTTTCGAAGGCCTTACAATATCTCTCAAGCATATCTCACTTACCCTCTCATGCACATTACATTGTACATATTTTGGCGAACTCTTACGCAACCGATCCTTTCATCAAGGATTCACTATCACAGCTTTTGTGGAAGATACAAAGCCTATATTTCTGGTACTCAGATTTCGTCCCGATTGTGGCAGTAGTCCATCTTGAGATCCTTGGTCTTCTTGTATAGTCATGACCTTTCACTAAAGCAAATTACAGACCTTGTTGTGGTAGCAGATCTTCACGCACCCTCATCGCATGGGGTTGTCCTCAATAGCTTGAGAAAGTTTTTCAACCATGCGCTTCTTTTGCAGCTTGACAACCTGACCACATATCCTGGTTATATAGTAGACAACGTCATAGTATGATGTTCCAGCTGCACCAAGCATAAGCAGGCATTCCCACTAAAGTATTAAGTCATCTAGATCCCTTAGACAGTTCATAATGGAATACCTTTATAACTGAATATCCAAACATCTAAAAGTAGTTGTAACTGCAGCAACTCCCACTCAAACAAAAAAACACATATACCATGTCATATCTCAATGCCCTCATGTGCATGCCATGAGCTTGTTCAACAAGCTTCATGCAAAAATAACTTTTGCCCAACAACAAAGGTTCAAACGTTTCCCCAACAACAAAGGTTCAAACACACTTGCCTCTTGGTTGTAACCCCACTTGCCTCTTGGTTGTAACCCTTTACAAACCAAGTGGTCTTATCCACACAACATATGTCAAGGAAGCCAAACAAAATCGGCATCCTAACAAACAGGTCTCAAAATGGTAGTTAATATTTATATGAAAACATGAGTCAATATATATGGGTACCTAAAACCGATGCAATCACAATGCTCTTATGAGTGACACATCTCCCATCTTATAAAAACAATTTCAAGACTCAATGTTTTCCCTTCTAACAAGACTCTTGACTTAGAATAATTTCATTAGAAATGTTTTTAAGAAACAAAAATTGGCAGTTTGGCATGATTTTCACAAACTAAGTGGACCTCGCAAGACTGTAGGGTCTCTCTGAACATAACCTATCAATCTAGCTTTCTCAACACCAAAGGTCCTTTGTTTTATCCAATTCTTTTTTCAGAAAAAGGATTTAATCTTTTTTAAAAATCATTTTTTATCGCATTCATTTTAATTTCACCAAGCCATGTCCTATCCATTTAGAAATGAGTCATAAAAGTCGAGCTATGATTTCTCCAAAACAAAGTAGGACCCAAAATGTAGATGGTTATCAAAACCTGAGATCCAAAGAAAATACGCACTTGCTGAGCAACACGGAGAGCCTACGATGAGATCCTTATCTCATTCAGCATGCTGCGTCAGAGGACAATACTAGGAGGACATACAACACAAAAAATATATCGAGGCATACAAAAAACGTGCATCATTTCTTTGCGCTACATGTTTGAATGAGCCATTCCCATCTCTAGTACTTGATACATAGGCTATGAACCTTGATCAAATCACTAAAATCACATACCTTATGTTTACTACCTTATGTTTACTACCTTAAGCAGCTCACACAATTATAAGAAGGTATATATATTTAAGGGTATCTAGAACCGGATCTTTCAAGCTTGTAGCATCTATCAACTGATGCCCTTACACTCGAAACAGCCAAGACATAACTAAAAAAGAAAAAAAAAGGTCAAGTGAGACTCATATGGCTCTTTTAATTATTGAATGATCTTTCCCTATATAACCTAACCATGTGAAGTGGGATAGATTTTATAACTTTTGACCCCGTAAGCCACAGTGTGTAGTACCGGGCCTCCCTTGATTCTTGCTTTGCTTGTTGATGAACTTTGTAGCCTTGGAACCAGGTCTCACGAGTAATGAAGAATCACTTTTGGTTATCAACTGCACAGAGAAGCTTCTGATTTTCGCCCTTTGGATTTTCCCTACTTTATAATGAGGAAGTTTTCCTATCCGTGCCATCACTTCAGAAGTAACACCTTTGACTTTTCCACTGATCTTGGGGATTTAGATTGCTTCCAAGTCTCTCTACAAGTCCCTTGATTGTCTAAAATAAAGAGAAACCAAGATGCACTTCACAAGTACGTCATGTAATTCTTGGATTTTCTGCAGTGTCCTGACGGAGGACCCTCCACATAGGGTTTCATAATTCCCCAATTTTGCATGATTTCTCTCTGAAATTTTATTACCATAAAGTACTATCGTAACAAAGTAACAAAACTTAGAATGAGCCTTAAAACCTTCCATTCTATGGGAGTACAAATTAGTGACTTCACATGTGACACTTTTGGATTTACTGCAGAACAGAGGATGAGCATTGTAGAAAAATCACAATATCTCTCAAGTTACAAAGAATTTCTCTCCGACGATTTGTGTCTAAAAATGAACACAAACACTGAAAATACTCAATGAAGAACCCAAAAGCATACTAGTTCATGGGTCTATGAATTATGACATTCACGTCACTTTTTAATTCACACCACTGATACTCGGGATGACCACCTTTCAATAAAATGGTCTTTTCTCTCAATAAACATAGGATTTCTCACTCAAATTTTTTTGTTGAAAACTAGACTCAAAACAAAATTATAACAACGTGGTGCGAGCCCCAAATAATATTATGTCATAAAACAGATCATGCTGTAAAAATTCAAGATGAGCACTCTTCAATAAAATTACCTTCTCTCTATCTGCATGGAGCCTTTCAACATTTTTGTTTGAAACTAGACTCAATATCACAATATAAAAACTCAGTGGGCCCCAAATCATTCTGTTAAATATGAATACAAAACAGAGACACTGACGTTACACAAACAACCCACATTGTAGAAAACAGAATTGAGCACCTTTCAATAAAGAAACCATATCTCCCAAACTACAAGAGCTCTCTCCATCAATTTTCTTTTGTTTCAAAGTAGACTTAAAAATGGGTGAATAACAATCAGATCCCCTCCAAAAATAATACTAATTATTGGATAAAAAATGCCAAGAAAAGGAGTACATAATTCCTGAATTCTGTTGGATTAGAACTAGCACCTTTTAATGATGAGTGCATAACTCTCAATGCCCACATAATCTCCGACTTAAATTTTGTAGGGAGATACTACTCTCAAAACCACAAATAAAAATATGGTATGCCCAAGAAAAGTAACTCATCCTATGGTCCATATCAATGAGCCAAAACCCTAATTTGCAGAGTGCTTTTCAGTGCCTAAATCAAAATAACAAATCTTTCGGAGGTGCATGACTTTGACCACAAAACCATTGTATCCCAAGTTTCAGATTCAAAAACAATAAAAATAGAAAAAACAAAAAAAATATGGCAGCAAGAGAACCAGATCTACTACTAATGAAAGGTGGAATATGTGATCTAGCCAAGTATATGCAGTTAAAATTTCTCCTTTCTTTTACTTATATAGAGTCTAGAATGCCTACAAGTATCTAAAATACATCTTTAATTCATAAAATTAAACCCTAATACAATATAAAATTATCACTTGCAAGCCATAAAAAACCTTTTTGCTCAATTAACATCAAAACACAACATAGAAGAATGAATCAAGAAACATAAATCCATAAAAAGACACATTACCTTGACAAGGGTCACCCCAAGAACTTATTACACCCCACTCAAGAGCAGCACACCAATGGCACAGGATCGAGGTCTTTTCAAATTGTCTCACTATGAGAAGGCTTGGCAAACCCTAATAGCATGAGAGCACAAGCCATCACATCACAATGGGAGATGGTTCTCTTCATCTAGGTTTTTCTTGAGGCATGTCACCCCTTTCATCATGCCTTGGGCATCGCTCCCTCTTTTTCCCTTTTTTATTTTATTAAATAACGAATGCAATGGGAGGTAGAAAGGATTGTTGGTACCAATGATGACTGAGGTCATAGATACATTCGTAGGATTAAGATATCGGAAGTGGAAGAAGCTTTAAAAAGGATGAATATAAGAAAGGCTTTAGGACCAGATGATATCCCGATAGAGATTTGAAAGTGCATGAGCATTGACTGGCTGACGAAGATGTTCAACAAGATGTTAAGAATAAAGAAAATGTCAGACGAATGGAGGAAAAGTATTGTGGTACATATTTACAAGAACAAAGGAGACATACAGAATTGTGCAAACTATCGAAGGATCAAGATTATGAGCCATACTATGAAAGAGAGTCATTGAGCAACAACTAAGACATGAAACGAGTGTATCTGAAAACCAATTTGGTTTTATGCTAGGAAAGTCAACAATTGAGGCTATTTTCCTACTTAGGCAACAGATTGAGAAGTTTAGGGCAAAGGGAAAAGACCTCCATATGGTCTTTATTGATCTAGAGAAAGCTTATGATAGAGTACCTCAGGATTTGATTTGGCGGGTGTTGAAAAAGAAAGGTGTCTCTAGACACTACATCAACTTGGTGAGAGATATGTACGATGGATCGCTAACTAGTGTCCGAACAACTCGTGGAGAGGAAAGTGAGTTTTCAATGATATTAGATCTACATCAAGGGTCAGCATTGAGCCCGTACCTCTGTCTTAGTTATGGACGACTTAACTAGGCACCTATAGGATGAGGCACCGTGGTGCATGTTGTTCACAGATGACATAGTTTTGATTGATGAGACCCTAAATGGTCAACACAAAGTTAGAACTTTGGAGGGATGCTCTAGAATCCAAAGGTTTTAAAATTAGTTAGACAAAGATAGAGTATATAGAGTGCAAGTTTAGTAATAATAGGAGTAGAGACGAGGAAGTAGTTATGCTTGACGGCCAGGAAATACAAAAAAGACCGCACTTTCGATATCTTGAGTCGATATTTCAGAAAAATAGAGAGATCGAGGAAGATGTGGCATACAAAATTAGAGCTAGGTGGGCGAAGTAGAGATGTGCAACTGGAATTTTATGTGATCGCCGCATACCAATGAGGCTAAAGGGCAAGTTTTATAAGACAACGGTGAGACCAACTTTGCTCTTTCGGGCGGAATGTTGGGTGGAAAAAAACAATATGCCCTACCCATAAATGAGTGTAGCAGAGATGAGGATGTTGAGATGGATGAGTGGCAAGACAAGCAGTGATAGAATTCGAAATGAATCTATTCGAGAGAATTTAGGCGTGGCACTATAGACGATAAAATGAAAGAGAATAAACTTAGATGGGTTGGCCATATGTGGTGCCGACTAAATACAGCACGTGTGAGGTGCGAGTCAGTTCAAGTGGAAAGACTGAAAAGGGCAAGGGGTAGGCCCACAAGAACATAGTTGGAAGTAATCTGAAAAGATATGGGGACTAATGGCCTCACTGAGGAGATGGATTTTAATATAGCAGAATGGAAAACCAGGATTCATGTAGCCGATCCCAATCAATTGAAAAAAGGCTAAAATGATGAATAAAAAAAAATGAATGATTGGGTAAAGTGAGATTAGAAAGAAAAATGGAGAGAGAGTGTGCCACTCTAAGAGAGTTGAGAGAGAGAGAAAAGGATCTAGACATTTGTATAGAGGCCACCCCTGGTACTTATAAACACAAGTTAGGGTTTATGGGGTGTAGGTTTGCCATCTTTCGAGAATTGAGATTAATTTTGATCGTCGATCTGAGGAGATTTGTAGGATGTAGAAATCTCAATCACCCAATCCCTAAATCAGATGATTAAAGTAAAGGTTTTGGAACCATTATCCCTCAATTTCCTTGACCCGATCCCATCAAATATTCGATTTGAGGAAATATAATATAGTTTTCAAAAAAATCTCAAGTTATGGTTATGCCTTTATGGAACATCTTACTAAAATTTGAATCAATCAATCCTATCTCTCTCAACAAAATTTACTAAATATTTTCCATAGCCTTGTACTTCTTCTAGAAGCCTTGCACAACAAGCCAAGAGAGAGAGAGAGAACAAACAGGTGAGGCGTGGAGGCTATGTGGGTCCCATGTGGGCCCCATGCCCCATTAAGGTGGGCCAAGACGATTCTGAAACACAGAAGAAAATTGTTCGCTTATCAAATTATCTATCGAGCCTTGAAAAAGATTCAACAAAAGACAGAAACAAATCCACTATCTGTTTTACATCAAACAATACGTGGAGTAACTCCCGATATAGCAGTAAAAGCAAGACGTGTAGGCGGATCGACTCATCAAGTTCCCATTGAAATAGGATCTACACCAGGTAAAGCACTCGCCATTCGTTGGTTATTAGGGGCATCCCGAAAACGTACGAGTCGAAATATGGGTGGGGCTTATTCCAAATGGGCCCCCACTAACCCTTATTAATTTCATAACAAAATAATGTGATTTTTATAGCTCTCTATCTATTTTTAAAATAGCTTCGTATTTGCAGAAGCTTGGAAAATCAATTTATAGGTATCTAAAAATGCTTTTCGATAAAATAAACTATCGTCCTGAAATCTGAATATAAATACTATTTAATGTCCCATAATTCAAAAAAAAACATATCTAAATATTATCCAATGGGAATTGGATCCATCGGGTCAAGGAACACACAAATTCACTGAGGCACTCCATCTATTCTAGCAACCGTACTACAGTCATCTTCTCAAACTGACCCAACGGAAACCCATAACCGTGGTTCATGATTGATCCATCAAAGTCAGCCAATACATGACGAGAACACAGTTCTAATCTATAGATTACAGGTCCCCTTAGGGACAAGCCCAAATCACACAAGCCATCGCACACTATTGCAATGGTGGATGGGGGTCATATCTTCCGCACGTGTACACATGCCCCAACGGGCTGCTTCTTAAATGCTATCTAGTGTACCTGCCGTGTGATGGCAATGATGAGGATTTTGGTCCTTGTCCCCTTAGGCCAACCAACCGCACGCAAGGGTCATAGTAACCTGACCAACCACCCTTAGCTTCTCCGACCTCATTAAGGGATGACCCTACACACCCTCCATAATTGTACCACATGCCTAGGGCTATAGGGTTTTAGACATCAACCCAGGCCTAGCTCATCAAAGACCAGGTGAGTCAAGGCATCAAAATGTCTCTTTTGGTCCCTCTGAACCGTAATTCTTTGGTCCCTCTGAACCGTAATTCTTTGGTCCCACGGACTCTAGTACCCATTGTAGCTATAACATCACTATAGTCATAGTTTTACATGCTCTTATAAGGCCTTTAACTCTCATAACCCCAACATGGAGTAGGCAACCCGAACATCAAAATGAACAAGGTGAATTGGTTTAGAACTTCTATTTTCACTAAAAGGAACGGAGGTTCTACAATGTTTAGACAATTGGCAGATCTCACATTGTAACTGAGAAACATCCAAATAGCCATTATTTTAAAGAACATCTGCATGGCACCTAGGGGCCTAGAGGACCTTAAAGCGCACACCTAGGACTAGGGGCCCTCCCTAGGTGCCAATACGTGGGTACCCGCTCATGACGCCCAGGAGGGTGCCAAGCACCCAGGTACTGGACCCTTTTTTTAGAACAAAGTCAATTTTAGACTCACAATTTTTTCATAAAAGGCTATTGGGGGTATTCTAAACCCCAAAGTGAAAAAAAATGGAATCTAAGCCTCCAAATCTATTGATTCTGGGATCTCTGGGAACCGAAAGAACATCTTAGATATATTTTTTTTTCATCTTGTCTAGTTGTGATCGTGCTCATGTGTCAATATGGAGTACGACATACTTAATTTGGATTAGATAGTTGAAGGTTAATACACCATGGACTTGTTATGTTTTTTAGTTTTTTCACTCAATTTTCAATGATTTGAAGTTTTGAACATGTTGGAACACTCATGCATATATGGTTGCATGGAAAAAGTTACTTAGAATACATAATAGTGAAAAAAAATACAAAATTAACAAGACATAAATGCAACTTTTCACCTTTGGGCACCTAAGGTTCTAGGCGCCCAGCTGGCGCCTGAGCGCTGGGCGCAACTAAGCCGGTAGCCTAGGGGCCCCTAGAGTTTTTTGAAGACCAAAAGAAACAAAGTTATTGGGAAACAATAATTTTAAGGATTTTACGGACATGTAGCCTAGGTGGGTTTGGCACAAGAGTACTTGCTCTTCACTGCAATACTCAAAATTAAGAGCAATATAACTACATCCCATGTTGAACAAGTAAAACCCATTGTCCTCACAACCGCCACTTATCGTCTTCCTCATCATCGAGTCCTAAAAACACAATGAGATATATAGAAGTTATACTCAGTTTAGTTGTTCTGCCAGGATGCTAACAACGAGAAGCTTGGAAGGAAAATAAGGTACATATATTACAAAGGGCAAGGACAAGGATGATGAAAGCTTTTATGTTGCACTCCCAAAGGAACTAGTCAAGGATCCATCAACAAGTTTAACTTCACTAGAAATAGTAGAAAAGGACAAAAACCAACTTTCTTACTGGTCCTATGATCAATAGCCCTTGAATCAATGATCAAGGATGTAAAAGAAGTGGACTAGGAGACCTTATTTGCAGATGCATATGTACCTGGCTGCTCTGAGCTGCAAGAGGAATTGAGTGCAGCCAATTGGTGAAGTATATCTTTGATTGCCTAATCTCTGGAATTGAATACAGTGGGTTGTTCGCAAGAGTCTCCTCCCCCTCAGTTAATATTATATTGGCACATGCAGTCGTTTGTTTCAATCTAAAGTGTGGATACAAGTCCAAGCAGTGATCTCAGGTGTCTCCTCTTGTCACAATGCAGCATTTTAGTTTCTCCTTTTCTACGAGAGAAAGTGGGGCATAATTTGATCTTTTCATACCCACATTTAATTTGCTTGAAAATTGTTACAAGGGCTGATCTTCAAGGTGGACGGTTGAACTTTATCCCCCTATAGTGGCCTTTCGGCTTCCTATGAATATTTTGGCAGATTGGGACCATTGTAAGTAGTTTGGTTCATCTAACCTAATTGTAGTTTTCACCTGGATGTGGTTAGGTTGACTACTTACCCAAGGAAATGTTGTGCTTGATTTCTGATATTCTTCCCCCCTCTCTCTAGCGCGAACCCCAATTCTCTTCCCAAGGAATTGATAACTAGTTTCCAAAGCTTGAAAATTTTCCCCTTTCTATGGTTCTTTGGGCGAGAAGGATATGGAATATTGACTCTAGGATTGCAGAAAACTAACAGACATCCTAGGGTTTCGAGCCCTATTCTGAGTTTGAGAAAGAAGAGAGGAAAAACACATTCAAGCACAATGATTGAGTAAATAATATGGACGTATATCTCATTATTTAAATCACGGGCCAATGTGCCCTATATATATTACACATATAACCATGTGGAATTTACAATACTAGTTGGCATGCATGTTGGTTACAGCTATTTTTGTACATACTGAGTTTCCAAGAATGTGAGGATTCTTAGTCAATGTACCTTATCATTGCATGCTCCATCATACGAGATTTCCTTAGTTGCAGTGTGGGGCCATAATATTCGCAACAATAAGCATACTAGAACTTATAACTAAAAACATTAGAAAAAAAAATGTTTGAATTTGTGCATTAAAAATCCTTACGGACTTCATTGCATAAGACCACATATAAGTACCATCCATTATAGACCTGCTACTCACCTGCTCGGATAAAAAAGTCACCAACAAAGAACCCCCCAGAACAGCAAGCTGCACACAAGTGGAAGTGACAAATATTCACCATATTATTAGCAGTTATGAAAAGTCTTGCATAATCACGAACTTAAAATGAAGAACATAACAAGATTCAGGTGCTCTAGGGAATGGACTACACAGCAAAATCAAGATTTAATGTTACCAAAGTTGCAGCAGCATGACCAGCCAATGCTCCAAAGACAACTCCGAGGGGAGACGAAGCGGCCGCAAGTGCTGCCAAAGATATAATGATAAACTGAGAACCAGAATATAAATAGTCTGATTATACACGTGTATGATCAGAAATTCAAAGGTTAAAAAGATGCAGCCTACTAACCTATTGTGGAGAAAAATGATTTATCACCCCATTCTGCAACAAAAACTAAAAAGAATGTGCCAAAGGCAGTATTTGCAGCTGCCACAATACCAGCACCGTCTCTTGAGAATTCTGAAACTGCTAGCTCTGCCTGTTTCATGTTCAAAAAGCAAGTTGGATGAAATTGTTACATGAAATATGATGTTCTATCCCAGAATATGATGGACAACATATCATTCTACTCTATATTATGGGCTGATATAACTTTTAACGAAAATGTTTGACTGAATTATGTAAGGGCTTTAATATCAAGGCAAGAGCAAGGTATTCAGAATAGAAAATCAGAAGAAATTTGTATTCTTAACCTCTTCTTGTTCTTCCTTAGTTTTCATGCTATCACTTGAAATGGCCTCGCGCAGAGTGGAAAACCCAAAATAGACCTGAAATGCAATAGTCACATAAAAAAATATACAAATTGGTAAAATCTTTGTAGAATTTGACAAACGACTTGAACTGTTGAACGTACCACTTGAAAATTGCATTAAGTTTAAACACGATCCCATGCACATAAGTATGACGAAGATGCAAGCATGGGGAATTTTGCAGGAGTTAAGAACTTCACAAACTAAGGGAGCTGAAGGTTACCAAGAGGCAAACTGCCAAAATGTCATCAATGGGCAACTCTGTCTCACCCAATCTGCGCATATAAGATGGCTTCAGAACCTTGTATGAAGTAAGTGAAAAGAAGATAGGCCATGCAAAGAAAACAGGAAATGATCAAACAAAACTGGATAGATAAGAACAGAGTCATGATATATAACTAATCAAGAATTCGAGCAATACCTGAATGGAAGGATACCATCAATGTAATGGAAGATGCGGCCAAGAAAGACAGATATGATAGTCATAGCTCTGAGAGAGGAAAAGAGATATGAAGCTTTTCACTTAGATTCTTGCTATGGAGGCAGGCCAGAAGTAGGCAACTATAATGCAAACGAAATCTTACCAAAAAGCAAGCAAATTATTGTACATGTGTATGCAAGCCATTAAATGAAGAAAAGAGGTAAACGAGTAAAAGAGGAAGCTCAGGAATAATAGAAGTATGAAAGTCCACATAATGTCCTATGATCTTGCCCAGACTAGCCCACCAAATTATAAAGTACCAAGTTCATTTTCAATAGGAATGGATTACATCATGGACTATATCATGTTGAAGCATATGTTAAACACATCAATCCCTAACGATATGTGAAAAAGACTAGCGTGGTAGAGTTACGTCGTTATTGGTGGCATCTAGAAAAATATTTTTATGACGAAGTCAAAAAAAAAAAAACATCAGCTATCTATCTGACGGGTAATTGCTTGCAAGCCCAAGACAAGCTACTACCCTTACTGCTATCAACTGCAAAACATCAGTGTGACCCCTAGGACAGAGGAAATGAATGGCATAACCCTTGAGAAAGTTATGCTCAAACGTCCATTCTTCTTGTGACAGTGTTTTGACTTTCCATACCTTGCATCAATCAAACAGCAAAGAAATTAGCAAATCAATAGTGCAAGTGATAATGCAACAACTGTTTAAAGCATCTACCTTTCCGGTAGTTAACTTCTCCCATGCTAGAAGGAAACTGCTGAATCTGAAGGTATCAACTAGTGGTCTTGCAATGGTAGGATGCTAATATGGAAAAGGTGAAGGCGATTTAGCCATGATAACCATTCACTCAGTTTTTTGAAGCCCCACTAGGGGAGAAGGGCTCATAGCGTCATTAGACTCACCTTCAACAGTCAAACCTACATAGCATCGGGGTATTCTGAGGTGGCAAAGTCGAATCCGTCATCATGAGTCTAGCACTCAATTGCATGGCATGCACACATGGAAAGATATGACCTTGGGCTAAAGCAAGAGCTGTTCTTGCAAAGAGAACCCATTGGCATCCGGGGTAGGCATAGTCAACCACCAATGTCTCATGCTCTTTATACAATCTCAGGTGTCTATGGGTCTCTAGCAGGAAGGATAAACCATTACTTTGATTCCACGGGCAAAGCACACAGGTTGGCATAACGTGACAAATGCTGTACTTGAGCATAGTGCATCCGAACTGTTAGGATTTGCTGATTGGGATAACAGTAAACATGGTGCCAACTGCTTGGATGAATAATGTCCACATCTGAAACGAGTTATTCACTAAGTTTCCAAAATGATTGCCAGGTTTGAGCAAATTACACCCAAGTCAAAAACCCAAATTGTTTTAAAAATATATTTTTAATATAAAATGGTGCTCTGACATTTTTGTTTTCACATTTGTTCAAACAGTTTTTCTCCTATTTATTGCATTTTATGAGATTTTGTAATTTTGTTATACTTTAATATCCCATGAGTACTTTTGGCATTTGAAACTTTTAAGTTTCTTTTGCGCATGTGTGGGTGGGTGGGTGTGTCTGCGTGTTCTTTTTTCTTTTCTTTTAGGAGATTCCTGCAAGTCATGTTTAGAGATAAATCGGTTTTGAAAAGCCCTCACACCTATACATGGACTTCTGCATTTTGAGTGACATCCTACATCTTCCGTTAGATTGTTAGTGGAAGGGGAAAAGACAGTGGTGGGATCATTGTGGCAGGTTATTGGACCATCACATATTAACTCCAGCAGATGGAACTTGCTATGGACACCAGCTTTTTTCGTTTCTTTAGTTTTTTTGGATCACAGGGTACTCCAGCTTCATTTGTCATAAATACAATTCTGATTCCTTACTACCTACAACTTCTATGTGTAGACCCTTATCGACAAGTACCAACCCATTTCACATCTGTTCTCACCAAGATCCTTACACAAACTACAAGTTCAAATGAGACCAGTAAGCAACTTAAGGATTCTACTTTAACACTATCACAATCAATCTCCCACACACTCTCACTTTCACCTTTATGTGCATAAGGTCCTCCCTACACATACACACTATCAATCAAGGTAGATTTTGAACTTCAATTCCCCATCTATAAATGATTCTGTCTGTTATATTCTTTGGTAGGACTAACAATGTTTTCAAGATGCTATTTCTAATATTCCCTATTTTAGTACCTCTTTAGGAGATTGATTGTCTTGTTTTGCCCTCTGGTTTCTCTCTTTTAAATTAACCATGATTATAAGGGGCAGAGAAACTTTCCAAATCTTGGCCAGATACTTGTTTGTGAATTTCCTTTGGAACCAGTTTGTAAGGAGGCTTTGCTTGGTTGTGCCAGCTATTGCATTAATGTTGATTGGCATATGCAATGTTCAAAAACGCGTAGGCGGTTTGGGCTCTGGGCCACCTAGGCGGGTATATAGACCCATTTATTGTATATATTATATAATAATAATTACGAATTAAGGCTATTTTTTGGTTATAATAAATTAATAATTACTATCACATGCAAAAAATATTTTCGATAAATTAATAATTACGAATTAATACTATTTTTTGGTTTACCAATAAATTAATAATTATGGTTAAAAGCAAAAAGCATTTTTAATAAATTAATAATTACGAATTAATACTATTTTTTTGGTTTACCAATAAATTAATAATTACTATCACATGCAAATGCATTTTCGATAATTCTGGAAAATTCAAACCAAATGAGAAAAATTACATCATTTACGAAAAAGAACTTCTCACAGTTCTAAGAGGGATCAAACGATTTCACATCTTTCTTGCCCCTGAAGAGTTTACTATCAGAACAGATAATAAAGCTATCAAAGATTTTTTAACAAACAAAAAAGGTGAAGATAATCCAAGAAGGATTAGATGGTCAAATCAAATCAATCATTACAATTTTAAGGTAGAACTAGTCAAAGGAATAAACAATATCCTTGCAGATTTTCTTAGCATGAACTCGGATTAATCAGAAAGATTAATCTAATGGATAAAGGCAAGAGGCCAGTCAAAGACGCTCCTCCTAAACAAGGAAGAGGCAGGAGACAGTGCCCATGGTCCAATCAAGAAGAGGAGGCTAGAGAAGTTTCCTATTCTCAGTTTGCTCAAAGTCAAGGTTGTGGGCCAACACTTATAAAGAAATTGTTGAATTTCAAAAACATATTCAACAAAGTTTTCCAGTAGAAACCAGACAGGTTTCTAGTTTTTATAAAAATCCAAATATTCCCAATAAAATTTATGAAGAACCAAATGAGGTATGGAAAAACCATATCCTTGAAAGCAGATCGAAATTTCGTAAACATTTGGGAAAGACTTTCAGACCTAATAGCCAATTAGAGTCAAGATTTTGACAAACTAAAAGAAAAGGTATTCAAGTCCTTTAAACAAATAGATTCAAAAAATGAATTCATTTTTGGAGATCGCTCATTTACTAGATAATAATTCTAGTGAACCTATTTTTGAAAAAATTTAAGAATATGCTTATATGAGAAAGCAAAAAATGTTTTGCCTGAAGACGTGTTTGAAAGAATATCTAATACAGTTGATTCTGAGCAGTATCAAATAATTCTAGAATTACTAAACCAGTATTTTTCTGGTCTATATAAAGACTCCAAAAAAAATATAAAAACAATAATAACTATTAATCATAATGAGTGGTGCTATGATGCAATTGATTGGGGAATCGCTGGTAGACTCGTCTTTGAGCATCTAGAATGGATGCAAATAAGACACTTCCCTAATTTTATAAAAAAATATGCTTTATAAAGTTTTCAAATCATGAAAATTTTAATAAATACCTTACTTTTCAAATAACAAGCACCATCGGATGGAGATCTAAAGAAAGATTCTTCCAGCCATACCAAATTTGGTATCTAATGGAAACCACCAATAACGATTTAACACTCGCCAAAGACACGATCGTGATAGATATAAAAGTCTATGAAATCAATGTAAAAACTTATGCCATAAAAAATATGGTATCATTCTGCCAAGAAATATGTGAATTAAAGAATAGACACTCTTTTAAAATTAGTGATGGAAAAAGACCTTTTGTCACTGATCTACACATAAGTCACTGTTCCACTGATAGCCAAATCAAAGAAACAGATGACTTCTTGAGCAAATGTGAAAGACTAATCAATCAGGATCAACCATCAGATCTATCTATAGAATCAGAAGAGTTGTTTATGGACGAAGCTGAAACCAATTACTGGGCTATGGAAGGACAAGAAAATATCAGTGATTGTAGCCTAGATAGTGTTGGAGAAGCCAACATCAGCCACATGATGGAAAGATGATATTTGCTAAAAAAGCAATGCATCTATCAGAAAGGACGGTATGACTGCAAACATAATGAAGCATCATACAAAGGAATCACCTTTTACTCTGACAACGTACAATTATGAAATCTACTTTTTCAAAGGTAGTGTAATAATAGAGGGTGGAATCTACTTTTTCAGAGGTCGTGCAATAATCAAATAAGATATAGAACGCATTTGAAATCCGCGTTTGGAGTCTGCAGGCTATAAAAGGAGACCAAGGCCTCAGAGTTGGACATCGAGTCTCGAAGAACAACATCTGAGAGTCCATTTCAGACTTTTTCTTATGTTTCATCCTTCTTTTTTATTAAGTACCAGTGTTCTTTTCTTCTCCTTCTTTCTCATCTTCATCTGCTTCTCTATGTTTGTGTCCTATAATCCTAAAGTCTACTACTGTGTAATCAGTATTACTTGATTAATGAGAGTTGTTGTTGTTGTGTGTCCTGTTGAATTATGTTTGTTGCGTTGCTATTCCACTAATTGATATCACAGCCTCAGTTTCTGGTAAATTTTCTTTTAATTCGGTTTTAATTCGTTTATGTTCTTTTATTTGTCTATTCAGTTACTGTATGAGTCCTTTTTAAAACCCATACACCTGTAAGTTTTACCTCGTAAGTCAAATCCCATTTTTGCACAAGGTTGTGTTTGAAGGGAGTAGGACTGTCAAGAGGTTCTGATAGACATACAGGGGGCCTTAGGTGCCAAAAGAGAATCTCATATGGCTGACATAACATGCATAATCGGTAAAAGTGATCAGAAAGAATTTGATTTCGATCATAGTTTGCATATTAACAAGTCTTCTGAAAATAATATTATAAGTATTAGTAGAGGTCTAAATGGACTCATAGATTTATGTAATAGCTCGTTTGAAATAGTATACAGGGGTTCGCCAAAATCATAAACCTTAGGCAAATAATCAACCAAAACTGTTGAAATCAGCAAGATCTAGGTTGCTTTGGCCAAACTTTGGCCAAAATCAGCAAACCCGAGACCCCACTGTAAGTTCCCCTCTTTCTTGTTGACCTAGGGCACCAAAAAAAGTAGTGTTGCAGTAACTCTGTATGTGCTACAGTAACTTCCGTACATGCTACAGTAACTTTTGTGTAGATCGCACAAGCTCTAATACCAATTTGATGCAGGGAAAGTTTATGGAATAGTAAAATCAGCAAAAAACAAGCTAAACACAAGCACAATTCGAAGAAACCTACGTTTCTTCTCCAAACCCCAAGCTAGGGTTCCAAAGGCCGAAGATTTTCTCTTTCAATTTTCAAAAATCATGAGGAATTGACCCTCTCAAGGTTCCACACACCTCCTATATATTATAATTCAATGTTCAAAGATATTATATGTCCATGCAATGATTAAATAACTTATAGATCCTAACTTCAACTTAAATTTCATAATTACAGTGTTACCCCTATGAACAGTACCCGTGAACAGTACTCATGAAATAAATAAAAGATTATAAAAACCCTAAAATTCTTAAAAAATTAAAAATCCCTAGAAACCCTAAAACTAAAATTATAATATACATAATTTGAAATTGAATAAAAATAAAAAATAAGAACACTTTTTCCCTCCATCACTTACACTCACTTCTCATGGGTACTTTTACTACCTATCTATACTTATTAATATGATATCACCAATTTCAAAAAGAAACAAAATGGGGCCAGGCCTACCAGGAAGATTTCAAGAATGCATTCCTAAAGAATCTTTATGATGAATTCTCTGTGCACTTTTTTAAGAAACAAGCTACTTTGTGTCCTAGGCCAGTTTATGTCACAAGCACCACTGCACTGAATTGTACCAATTCAATAGAAATTTTTTTCAGCTTACACTGATAAAGGATGCATTATCGCGATTTCTTGTGAAAAGTCACAGAAAACAGCTACATATAATTTTGCATTTGTCTATTATTTTGCACCTGGTAAGCGCCACCCATCATCTTTCATTACATGTGCCCAATTTTTATGATATTAATGAAGTAGGTGTATGAAGACTACATAAAAACTGTGGCTGAGTGACAAAGAGATGCTCTGGGCCATTCTAAAATCCAGATACAACGGTCGAACCGGAGATTTCCCAGGACGAGTCCCATAGGGACTGGTCTATTAATGCAACAAAATTATTAAAAATAAAAGGCAAAGTACAGTCAACACAATGATTCACCAGCTCAACCCCCAAGTATATGACCAGTTTGATTGGGTGGTTCAACAAGCAGACACTGGTTCTGACCACCTCTCCATATTTCTAGTTAAGTCTAAACAGTAAAACTTGCTGGTCAAGTCCAATTTTCAAACACCAATAAAAATTGATGCAGGAATGATGCCAGATAAGAAGTTAAAAAATTCCTAATCATTAGTCATGCCACAGAGCAACTTACGCTAGAGCACCAAATGTTCCAACAAAAACAATAGCAGCAGAATTCCGGGCTGCAAGGAGTGCCTGATAAGGAATATAAAGGTTAGAAAGCAAATAACAGGAGGTGCATAAGCCTCACAAAACAAAACTAATTTTAGCTCTTCATAAAATGAAGAATGCACACATTATGTGAAGTCAAAATCTATTCTCACTGAAAAACAAAGTCAACGCACCATAAACTGAATTTATCAAGAATGTAAACTGAGTTAACTTTTACATGGAGTGAGGAATCCTCACTCCATCATAAGACCACTAATGAATGCATTGCAGCAAAATTGAAAATATAGCAAATCATGAAAATACTCATCCTCAAGCACTTAAAGCTAACAATTCCATTTTTGAATTAGCAACATCATCCTTGTAGATGACATTGATCTCTAAATTTTCATTATACGAGGTGGAGAATAATCATTTATGCAGTAGTTGCTGGATAAAGGTGAATGGAATAGTCAAGGACAGGAAAATTTCACCAATGGATATCCCCTTCTATCAACCTAGCCAGTCACAGCAGTCAGCTAGTGCCCAATCACACAGTAATCAGAATACAAGTCAAGCTTAAAATATCAGGGATCAGTCATAAAGTTTCCCATCATAAAAGAAAAACTAGATTGTGACCAGCAAGCTCGGTAGTCCCATGGCTGAGATATTGTTGACATTGTTTCACAGTGTTGGTTTCCGAAAAGGGCGTCTACTTTTTACACCTATACATTTATTCACTCACTCTATAGAGAGGATATATGCAAGTTGGCAAAGAATCTCTGACATGCTAAAAGCATGAATATGAGGAAAAACCCGAAAGAAATAAGCAACCAAATGTAGATCAAATTTTCATATAAGGAGAAACAGTTTTTGGTAAAAAAACTGGTTCATTATAGTACTCCAATTCTCACTAACATCATCGATAAAGAGCATCGGAAACTAAAGCTGAAAGGCTTTTCGTTCCGCGATAAAAAAGGTTTTATCACCCAGCTCAGAAAAAAATATCAGCAAGAAGGCCTGCACCAGATATATAAAGCCATGAGTGCCTTGATTAAAATCAATGGGCTCTGTTTCTTAAAAACAAGAAAAAACAGACTTCTCTAAACTTACAAAGATGCAGAATTGAAACAGAGAAGGCAATGCATAACAACTCGATCCCTATCATACTTGGGAATCTGAGAAAAATGGTACACTCTTTTCACTACTAAATCCACCTCTAGTGCTTGGGAATCTAAGATAACAAACAAACGCCTCTCCTGATCCTAGAGAGTTCAGAGTACAACTGATGGAGGGCAAGATTATTCTTATTTTTTATTTTTGAACCTCGTTTTTCTTCCCATATAAGCCTACACCCTTGTCAAGGTTTAGGATTCGCATTCCTTATCCAGTTCTACTACCAGACTACTGAGATGAGTCAGCAGTTGTGAGTTTTGTTTCCCTTTTGAAAGCACTTACCATGGATTGTTCAAGTTCTTTATTTTGGGAAGCATCTCTAAGGTTTTCGGTAACAGTAGGTTTCAATTTCAAATGATATATTATAGTTTCAGTTTTAGGGTTTTTATGATTTTCAGGGATTCTAGGGTTTTTTTTATTTTTATTTACCATTCACTTGTTACTATTTGTAGTTACTACTATTCTGGAGTACTACTCCTGGTACTGTTCACAATGGTAAAACTGCCATTATGAATTTTAAGTTTAAGCTAGGATATAGGGGTCAATGTATTATTTGTTTGGACCCTTTTTGTACTTAGAGCATCAAATAATATTATAAAAAGGTGCATGGGGGCCTTAGAGAAGGCATTCACGTGATTTTCCATATCTAAAAAAAGAAAGGCTCAGGCTTTTGCAACCCTAGCTTGGGTGTGGAGAAGAAACCCTGTGTTTCTTTGAATTGTGCTTGTGTTTGGCTTTGTTTCTTGCTGATTTTACTGTTTCCTCAAATTTTCCTGCATCAATAACCCTATAGGACTCATCATTACCCAGTCATTTCCTTCTCCATATTCAAAGTCCTCTCAAAATTGTTCGGTTCCATCCTAAACTACCTAGGCCATTTAGTCAAAAGAGCTCTATTAACAATGATGAAGAATCACCATCATAGCTTTAACTGAAACAAAACAAGCACACCCCTCCCTTCAACTGATCCGCCAGGTCTAGGGCCGCAGACCTTGCCAGTTGGTGTCCCTGCCCCAAGTAGGGGCCTCAAGGGGGCATCTGGGTTATCTGGAACTCTTCTAAGAATACTCTCGAGTCCTCTCACACAAGGGGCTTCTCAATTACTATCCTCCTCTCCAAGATAACAAATGGATACCCCTGGAAATTCACTGCCATATATGGTCCTAACTCAGTGGCACAAAGAACCCTGCTTTGGGACCAGCTAGAGCTAGTTGCCACCTTACCTCACTGCTCCTAGTGTTGGGGGGGGTTTCAATATCACTGATGGCCCTTTGAAAGAAACTCTAACTCCAACATCTCGCAAGGGATGCTGGACTTCTCAAATTTGATCTCACGCAATGAAATTCTAGATATCCCACTCCAAGGAAACCAATTCACCTGGCTGACGACTTTGCCCAACCCACCCTCTCCAAACTTGATAGGTTCCTACTCTCCTCAAACTAGATAGGTTCCTACTCTCCTCAAACTAAGATGAGGACTTCCTTGGCTTCCACGCGTTAGCGCTACCTAGACGTACTTTTGACCACTGCCCTATAATCCTATACACCCTATCTAGCCTCGAGAGACCCTAGACCGTTTCGATTTGAGCTCTCTTGGCTTGACGACGCTCCTCTATCCTCTCTCATCTCCTAGTGGTGGGAGTTCTTCTCCCCACACGTCTCAGGTAGGGTAAGCTAGAAGCTGCAAACAAAAATTCAACTCCTTAAGGCACCCCTCAAAGCCTAGAGTAAAACCACCCCAAGTAATTTCTCCCATCTCAAGAATACCCACCTGGTTGCGATCCAAGCCTTAGACCTTATTGAGGAATCCCGAACCTTGTCAATCTTTGAATCTAACCTTAGAACTCAACACAACCCTCAAAAAGGAAGAGATTTTTTGGTTTCAAAGTCCAAGATCAACTGGCTCCACTCCAAGGACCATAATACCGGTTTCTTCCACATAATCGCAAATTACCGAAGATGCGACAATTCTATCTCCATTATTAAGGTTGGAAATAGGATTTTGGACCAACCTCTTGAAATCGAAGTAGGCATCCTATCCTTCTTCCAAAATCTTTACTCTGCCCCCTCGGCTACCAGACCTAGGATGGGCAACATTCAATTCCTCACAGCTCCTGCTCATTGGGTCCAACAGTTGGAACGACCCTTCTCTGAACCAGAGATCTTGGCAGCTATTGCGGACCTAGGTAAAGACCAAGCACTACGCCTAGATGGCTTCCCAGTAGCTCCCTTCAAGCTATTCTGGGAAACTTTTAGGCCCAATCTCCTAAGTTTCTTTGAAGAATTCTTCCATCGAGGTATCCTCCACAAAGGTATGTATGTGACCTTTATTGCTCTTGTCCCAAAAATCGAAGAGCTAGAAAAACTGAAGGACTTCCAACCAATCAGGTTGGTCAACTCCACCTACAAGATACTCTCCAAAGTCTTCGCTTCAAGGCTTAAAAGAGGTCCTCCCCTTTGTGATCTCTCTCTCTCAGAGTGCCTTCATCAAAGATAGGCAGATCCTTGACGGGGTCTTGAAGGCGCATGAATGCTTGCACTCTGGCACCTAGCTAAAAAACCGGGCCTGATCTTCAAGATTGATTGGGAAAGGGCATATGACCATGTTGATTGGTCAATCTTGAACAAAACAATGGCTAGGACGGGGTTTGGGGAGCGTTAGAGAAAGTGGATGAGGGACTGCTACTCCCACCCCTTCTTCTTCGTCCTCATTAATGGATCACCAAAGGGCTACTTCCCTTCTTCTAGGGGTCTCTAGCAAGGGGATCCCCTATCTCCTTTCCTCTTCACTATCTCTGCGAAGGTGTTCAGCCAATCTGTCTCTCGCATGTACTAGTCTGGTCTTCTTTCTGGTTTCAATAGCAATACTAGAGGCCCCACGGTTTCCCACCTACAGTATGCCGATGACACTCTCGTCTTTATAGATGTTGTTTTGTAGGAAATTGAGAACGTGCACCTCTTTCGCATATGCTTCAAGTATGCCACTGGCTTCAAAGTGAATATGGAGAAATCCAAGATGATTGCGGTCGCTCTCACTCCTTTTAAGACTAGAGCCCTTATTCCAGATTGGGAGTGCAAAGTCGAAGATCTCCCAACAAGCTACCTTGATTTGCCGTTGGGCTTAGGAAACCATAAAAAGAGGTAGCGGACTCACATTATAAACAATATTGACCGCTACCTGGCAGGGTGGAAAGGTAGATTCATGTCTTTCACGGGTAGGACCATGTTCATCAAGGCCACCCTAGCTAACTCCCCGGTTTATCTTATGTCCCTGCGGCGGTTGCAAGGCGTCTCGAACAGTCGATGAGGAACTTTCTTTGGTCACGGGATGCTGAATCAAAAGATTTCCACCTCATTCGTTGGGCTAAAGTTTGCCAACCGAAGCACCCAGGTGGGCTTGGGATATGGATCTTGGGGAAATAGAACACAACCTTACTTGGGAAGTTGTGATGGCATCTCGCAACCCATAAAAACTTAGCTCTAGTCTCAAGTCATCAGCTGCAAATATAGAATTTCGACAAACTCCTGGCTATCGGACGGGACACCAAGCACGGCCTCAGGGGCCTAGAAGTCTTTCATGTCTTCTTTATCCCTCTTTCAACAAAATATTTGTTTCCATCCAAGGGGAGGCATAAGAATTAATTCTGGTCAGATCTATGAGTGGGCCACACTCTGTTCAAGGACTTGCTCCCATCTCTTTTTTCTCTAACTACCAACAAGTCCTCCATTATTGCCGACGAGATGCCCATCTACGAAAATTTGTAGTATCTGGAACCCTTCCTTCAGACACCCTCTTTCTGATGTTGAAACCTTGGACTTCATCTTTGTCTTCTATACTGAATTCTACATTCCTCCTCTCTGGCCTTGACAGCCTGGTGTGGACCCCCTCCCCTTCAGGCTCCTTCTCGGTAACCTCCTTTTACAAAAAACTTTTGCAGCCTCCCACCTTCCCCCATGCCCTGACCTCTGTAGTCTCTAAGGTATGGTCTACAATAGCCCCACCAAAAGTGCAAGCTTTTAATTGGATAGCATGCTCAAAAAAAGCCCTCACAGTTGACCAACTACAACGGAGGGGAATTCGCATTCCCAATCATTGCATTATGTGTCTTTCTGAAGAAGAGAGCAACCCCCACCTTTTTAATCCATTGCAACCTTGCCCTCAACAGTTGAAGTCAACTTCCCCGTCTTTTCGACCTGACTTGGGTTACTCCTACTTCCATACCAGCCCTCCATAAATTCTCAATGGACACTTCATGGTCAAAGGAGGCAGGCTTTTATGGAAGGCCTCCTTGGGTCATCTGGACCAAAAGAAACTCAAGGATCTTCCGAGGGGTCAAGTGCAAAGCTTCGCCCGTATTCCAAAAAATTACCTCTCAGGTCATTTTCTGGGCTTCCAACCACAAGGCTTTCATTGGTATTTCGGCTTCGTCATTCCTACAAAATTAGGAAGATGTTCTCCATTTCAAATCCCCTTGGGTCTCATGAGCTAAGAACTAGTCTCCTCCTCTGACAGGCCTCACTAAACTCAACTTTGACGGGTGTTCCCTAGGAAACCCAGGACCAACTAGGGCAGATGCCAACATCATGGCAACTCCCCACTTGCTGAGTCTACGGCTCTCCTCTCGGGTCTCAAAATGTTCAACCCCACATGGGGACTACCACTGATCGTTGAAGGAGACACCCAAAACACTATCACTTGGGCTGCTAGAAATGCCCCTCCTCCCTGGTACCTTGCTCAAATTTATGACGAAATTATGCACATTTGCAGGGATATAGCCATCTTCTGGAGTCATACTCGCCTTGGTGCACCAACTGGCTAAGGATGGAGAGGTGGCACGCGTCGCAGGGTCATAAGCATTGGGTTTTTTTGGCACACCTTTGTTTTTGGGTCCTATTTTTTCTAAGGACTTATGGAATCCCTGGATCCTCAGTTTATATGTTTTTGTAAATCCTCTGTAAATGGGCAATTGTTATAAACCCTACCCATTTTTTGTATAGGGCTACTCTTTTTGGAAGACTATTTTTTTACAGAGAGGCCTGGCCTATGGGCCCTCTCGATGTACTACTATGATCTTTTCTTTTACTTAATACAATAGTTAACTTTATCAAAAAAAGACAATTATGAAGAATCAAATACCAAGGCTTCCTGTAGCTTTTGGGCCATAGTTATCAGGATCTCCCAACCAAGCGGTCAATCCCACTCTGGAAGCTTACTTCTACGATTTGAGGGAGGGAGATCTAGCTCCTATGTGATTTTTAAACTTCTGGATCTCAATCCTTCCTATTTCAAGATCCTGAGTTATATGGGATCCAAATTCCATTGCATCATAATTTAGGGTCATTGGTAAACTGAACCAAGACCTCCACCAATGTTGGGTCAAGATTCCCTAAGTGGTAAACTCCAGTGTACCTCTTCCCCTCTTTAATAGGTCACAAGTTTGAACCTTGAGACTTGAGCTTCATTTTAATGCTAAACAGTAACTATTTTGCATAATTAGCTAACACTTTTAAGCATTACATAGCATATTAGTTGCATGTTGTGTTCATACATAATTTCCGATGGTGGTATACTTCATTGTCCCTTTTGGGCTCTGTAACAAGTCATGATACCTTGAGCTTCAACTCAATACTCACCATAATACTTTTCATTCAACAAAGAAGGATGGCCATGATTTTTATTTTGTTACATAAAGTCATAAACTACAATCAAAGAATGCAAAAATTAAAATATTTTATAATGATTCAATTTTCTCAATTTTTTAAAGTTCTAGTTTTTCTAAAAAAAATTATTATTTAATTGAAATATAAACTACACTAAAAGGAGTGCAAAAATATTAAATTATTAAATAATGATTAAATTTATTTCCATTTTTAATAAAATTTCAAAGTTTTAAAAGTTTGTTAATTATTTAAAATATAATAGGGATTGTGTTCCTGACCTAGGGAATCCCAATTAAGCTCGTTCGAGGACCTCAATTTTCAACTAGATGGAGCTCAGACCTATAGAACTTATCATTTGATCCCTAAAAGTTGGGATTGACCTCCCCAACATATAGGGATCTAAATCCCCTAAATTTTGGGGTGTACAGATTGCGATCCCAAACCTAGGGACCTTCTAGCCTTTCACAATTCCTCGCTCCCAATCCAACCCCAGAACCACTCTCAATCCTGATCCCATCAATAGTGTTTTGGCCTACAGCTATTTTCCCATTTTACAGAATGGAATAGCGAGGCCCCTTCTCAAATTCCAGGTGGAGCGTGTTATTATTTTCTCCTATTAACAACCATAAAATGAATCCTAGGAAGACAAGAATCCGGCAACAGCAAGGAAGCTTAGGTAACAACAGAGTTATTTCTCTTTTTCCATTTTTATATAATGGAGCTATCTTTTAAAAACATACTCAAGATGTTGCAGTTTATCAAATGGTAAACAGATATACTAACGAACATTCAAAACTCTAAGCTTCTTTGCACAAGAAAATAAGTAACCAATGCATTATCAACCTTCAAATATATCTCCAACAATGATAAATAAGGAGGTTTCCCTAACCGAAGTAAAACCTGTGGTAACATCACTGAAATCCCCAATATAAGGAATGGACTGCAACCCACTTGCAAACTGTAAACTAGCCATTGCATATGGTGAATATTGAAGAGTGGAAAATCCAAAGAGCATTGCAAATTTCATCCAAGATGAAAATGATATCTCAGCAGCATTATCAACACCATCCACGAAAGGCGTTGATATTTTGCCATCTTTGGCTACGAGGCTTGCTCCAACACATTTATCCAGATGATCAGAATTGTAGTGGACATGCATGAGTTCAGATGATACGTCCAAACAATTCATCTTATCATCAACAAATCCGAGGTCCTGCAGTCAAAAATCTAAATTAATGATTAGCACAAAATTCCCATCATAGCAAGAATTAAATCCTAAAAGATTGCAACCAAGTTAGAGCATTTCATTGCATGGTCCAAAATGGAATATGATCAATATCTTAATCAGGGTCACTCATAGCCAAGCATAAAGATAGAAAAAGAAATGCTTAAGTTACAAGTACCTCAATAAAACAATGATATAGCTCACAATTTCACCAAAGGCTTGAGCCAGTGACCGTTATCAACCCCTCCCCTTCATTCATAGCCACACACCGAGATAGGAAAAAAGGAAAGGTCTAAGTTACGAGTACTTCAATAAAGCAATGATATAGGTCACAATTTGAGCAAAGGGGCTTGAGCCAGTGACTGCTATCATCACCTCCCCTTGCAACTTTGGCATGGATAAAATACAAGACCAAGTACCACTAAATTCACATAATACTCAGAGAGGTTTCAGCATCAAATACTTCTACTGATTAAGAATAAATTTTCGGTAACAACCAATGACAGCTAAGATATGAATCAATTCCATAAATGAAAGTCCCCCATCCCCTGCACAATCTCTTTATGGAAAAAAATATATAATATGAATCATGATCAAGTACCATTATGATGACAACAGCGGTGATTGAACATTATTATGCTAACTATTGCTATTGTGGACATAACAGAAACAACATTCTCCTTGATATTTGTCGTATTCCAATCCACACAAATCATTTAAGTTATGACTCCTAACAGAATCGATGGGAAAAGTTAGCTACTTTGTCCAGGTAATCCATTGGATTAAACTATAAACGACATGGAAGATGCATGTGACATCAAGCATGATTATGTTAAGGTGTACAAGTACACCAACAACACGAATGCACAAAGTGTAATCAAGTAAAAGAACACAATTGGTCAGGGTGTATTATCCATTTAACTAGGGATGACACATTTATCAACCATGTCATATGCATATTTATGCTTGGCTAAATATAGTGGCATAGTGCAATGCAGAACAAGCATTCCTTTATAAGACAGCTCTTCAGTAACCAAAAACTATCAAATATCATACATGTCCTTCAAATGAAACTGATGCTGGAGTAGGGCCTCCCAAAATCAATTGCAAGAGCTTTCTAACCTGTCAGTCAATTAAATAAGGAGGACTACAGTACCAGCATGCGGTATTAAAGAAAGAAATAGATGTATTGCAGATTGGGTGTGCGTAGAGAGTGAGGGCGTAAGAGTGCTTAGAGAGATGGATGATTTGGATGGTGCAGTGTGCGAAGAGAGGGGTTTTAAGTGTCTATATTACCAAAATTTCCTACTTAGTTCATCCGTTAAGGCCTCAATGGGATGACCAACATTTCCCTTGTAGGCTGGACTTATTTGAAAAAGTTTAATAAACATTTTTTTCGAATGAGCAGTTGAGCATTTTGTAGCGCTTTCTTAATAATGTAACACTAATTAATGGAGCAGAAAAAACTATTTTCTTCTACGTTCATTAATGGGTGGGATTAAATGAAACCCATCCAAACAGATCCTAAATTCCCAAAGGCTTATTTCATTTTTTTTAAATTACCAAAATTCGAAAGGTATAGTGGGAAAATACATGACCTTAAATTCATAAAGTCAATTGAAATATTTCATCAAAATGCCTTTCAAGAGGTATATAAATGGTACCAAGTTAAAATGGAAATAAACCATTTCCAGAAGCTAAATGGGCGTCTGAAAAAAATTCTAGTTACTTGCAAGGACAACTGCATTTCTGGAGGAACAGCATGTCTTATGAAGTTCTAGGTGATAATCCATCATTTCTTGTTATGTTTAAACACTAGGCCAATATGCTCCACTTAGGGTTTCTTACTCCACCATGGATATGCACAAATCAAAAATTAAAGATGTCTAACCAGCTATCGGTATAGCCCCTGTCATATTTGTTGGATGATTGTCTAACCATGTTCCTTCTCTCCAATGGCCCTTACTCACAGAGAGATTTGCAAAGTTCATGATGTGAGCAAACACAATGGGTAAAAAATGCCGTTTAGATAAATACCTCCACCTGTTGATACATAAATGCCACATACATCTTTCTAGATCTATTCTTTCATGCAAAGAAGTAACATGCACTACAAGGGCTTTTGAGAACATCTCCGACAAAACTAATTTACAGTCAATACCAAAGACCTCAAATTCAATGAAACCCATAACAAGAATGACAACCATAACAAGAATGACAATATATATATACATATATATGGGAATGGATCTTATCAGCCCACAGGCTGACCGCTACAGTGTCAGCCAACAGCTCAAATTAAGTCTGGACCCGATCTAACGGTCACAACCTCATTTCATATTTGAATTTTTATTGTTTTTCTACAAATCCAAATCACTTGAAATTTTTAGAGTATATTTTTTAAAAATAGTATAACCTAATAAAAATATTAAAAGAAAAATTCGTACAATATAAATCAACCAAAAGACCCTCAAAATGTTTTAAGAGTATTTTGGTCAATTTATATTGTGCGAATTATTTTTTTA